TGCGTTCAAAGTAAAGTTTTTTTTTTATCCGTTATGACAATGGAAGTTTGTAGATTTACTTCAATAAATTACAACGGAGAAGATTATTGTCCTCAATAGTATCTCGGTAGTTTTGTCTCTTCATCTGAAGTTGCGATTCAATAAATAATTCCTTTCCAAATAGCATTCGTAAAGTTGTCTGATTCATGTGACTGATATTTCCCAATTGTGTGTTAAGAGTAAAAGCTTTATATTTTTGACAGTATTGAAACTTCAAGGAGCGCATTTTCATAAAACTTCAACATCGTATCTGACCTTCCGACTTGGCCATACTGAACAACCATTTTGAATTCTGCAATAGTTCTTTTTCTTCTCCAACGTCCCTGTAGAAATTCTAAGACATAATTCACTAAGTCTAGAGCTGAATTTGACGTCTCTGTGCATGTCCTGGCGTATTTGTTTGAGAAAATGAAAAAATCCGGCATTCTCGTTCAACGCATTGTAGCGTTTTATCGATACTTTTACCTGGAATCTGCCAATGCACATACGCAAATACAAAGTTACACACCCACATTACATCAAAGAAAGTAGACCGTATCACCGACACGTTATCTTATTACGTTCCTGGCATGCTGAAGAGCATTTGCAGCTTCATTTAAAATTAGAGAGCATCAAAGCTAACCACATATATGAAAAAAATATTATGTTATACATTGCATGTAGGATACGGTATCTTTGCTAACATTTTGACATAACTCAAATAAAAACGACTAATTTGTATTGCTTTTGGAATTTTATCTGTCGGAATAATATATGCTAAGATTACTTGAGCTCTGTTTTGTTTCAGCACTGGTAGTGATTATTTATTAATGGTAATCAGTTTTCAGAAGGTTGTCAATCAATGGGGCATGGCCTCACCCAGCGCAGCGAGCTCTTTTTGTATCGTATGCTTGGTATATATACATAGTTCAAGCAAAAATCTATATATAGTAATACAAAACGAAACTACAATACTATACTATGCGATCTTTACATCGTGCAGAACGGACTTTAAAATTTGCGACGCTCTGATTGGTTATTAATAGATCAGAAGCTAAAAAATCACCGTTTTAAACATCTCTGTGGAAATAGAAAATATGTTTCACATCGTAACTTATTTGTGTGAACTTTGCAAACGTATTCGTTATGGTTTGAAATGTTTCTTCGTTAAAACGGGTTTAAAAATTTAAGTTTTCGACATTTTTGACGAATCAGGTTAAGCAATAAAAATATTTGTGGTCTGAAAGTCGCTGGTGTCAAAATTTGCCACATTCTGATGGGTTGAAAAGACCGGAACAGATCAACTTCGCCGGTAGTCTCGACTACTTCGCCGGGAAATAGGAACACGGGAGGGTAAAGGCCAACTCAAATGATCGACAAGAGTAGCTACGGAGCGAATTTTACCAGTTTTGACCTTTCACAGACAGGTGATATGTTTGACTCAAAGGTCTACTGATTTCAATGTGTTTGTCACTCTATCAGCTCCACGAAAGCTAGACCTGTGCAAGTCTAGTCGGTTTCAGTGCAAAGGAGATGTTTATCAACGACAATGCTGATGTGCCGCCTGGGGTGTGTACTAATTCCTGTAGGAACTCTATCTAAATAAGAGATTTACAACGATAGATTTAAATCTCTGATTTAGATAGAGTTCCTACAGGAATAAGGGTATCTGTACGCGCATAAATGTGTACTTTTATGTGGGTAACTTCACTAAGTGAAAAGTGAAATAATTTATGCTTCGCCTAC